ACTTAACTTACTTATATTCTTAACTTAAGCTTAACTTATGTTTCGTCTGTATAGGATTTGATCTGTTGATTTCTTTATTATTGATTATTTTCAGAAGAACAACGATATTGGTTTGCTGAGAACGAAAAATGACATCAAGGCTACACGCGAATTGATCTTTGGTGTCACCAGAAACACGTTCGTTTTGCAGAAATTGCCTCCTGAGCTTCGAGGATTCAGTGTCAACCTGGAAAGTATACTTGTGTGGTGTGCTCGTGAATGTAGACTCCACAACCAGTACGTCGAAGATGGTCCCCAGACTATAGAATTTAGCCTAAAGTTAGATGGGAGACCTTTAGCTGGTAAGCTGAGCAATTATCTTGATTAACTATAAGTTATGCTTTTAAAARTATTTTTCTAAATAAAAAAAAWRKWTWWRKAAWRSMTTTTTTTTAAATCCTTTACTTAATCTACACCTAAAATCATATCTGTTCAGTTAAAAAGTTAGACTCAAGCTTGGGAGAAATTATGTAGATCTGCATGCAAGCTGTGGTAAATAAGCTTGCATGAGTTTATAAATGGATGGGCTTTTAAATGTTCACATAAATTCTGACATGTTTTTTCTTGATGTTACTTTAATTAAGGAAGAGATCAAGTTTCTGTTGGGGTTGTGCCTATAAAGATGGGGGATGTAAAGAAGTGCCAAAGRTCTCTCTCTGTATATCCTCTTGCTATAGCAAATTGCTCAGAGAACAGGTACAGTAAACCAAATGTTGTCATATGCCCTCCTCTGTTGGCCACAACAAAGGCACAATTTAAGCATTATAAATTATTATCCAATGTTGACTTTGCTAATTGCAATGAAATGTTTATGTGAATTTATGTACGTGGTTATAATCATGGTTGTGATAAAATCTCATACATGTAGTCTCCTGTCAATCATGTACAAAATTATGAATTTCAGCTAATATTAATTTTTAAAATAGCTTAGAAGAAACATTTATTGACTTTGTTACAGTTCATCTATTCACATAATAAGCTGGATAGACAAAATTTAATACAAAAGACAATAATTAAATGGGGTCTAAAATCTTTAAGCAAGCATGCTTTTCTTTAGATACCCATTCAGTTTTATGATAAAATAATCTAATAACATAATCAGCACAACTATTGTAAATAATTCTGAATAAATTGATTGATTGATTGATTGATAATTTTGATTCTCAAAATGTAGGATTGCCCTTAAACAGGTTATTGCTAGATTAAAAAAAGAAAAAAAGGCAATAAAGGATGGTGGAGGAATAACAGTTGATGGGAAGAAGTTTAAGGTCAAGTTCAAAGGTAACCTTTTTAAGTCAAACTTTGTATTATTTTCTATTCAAGAATTAAAGCTTTTAATTAAAATTATCTCAGGAATTTTAGTATTCAGACACATTAGCCATCCAGCATCCCAGTTGAGCACA